TGATATGCAGGATGGGCTTAGGCGACCCCTGTGAAAGGGTCGTTCGACCGCCAAAGGGGTCGCGACCCACAGGTTGAGAACCGCTGAGCTAGAGGGAGCTGGTGGGACTCTTCACTCAGACAACGCCCACCTGTTTGTTACTCATGTCCGTTACGTGGATTGACGAGTTATATTATCTAGTCTTAAGGAATGTGGCCCTCGAGGTTCTGCGAAGAAGCCTGCGTTGAAACAATTCTAATACAGGAAATAGGAATAAAGAACAAAAATTGGCAGGGCGGACCCTTCTGCGTTGTCAGGTTGGGTATCAGTTTTAAAATGATGGCTTTATTAAACCTGATAAGTTAGCCAAAACTGTTTTTGAAATATTGATTTAAAATATGGACCTCTATCCAATATTGTTCACAACGCTTGTTGACCTTAGAGTTTATTGGAATATAAGGTAGTAGTGAATTAGGTGCAATTTCTTAGTTCACACAGATGTGGGGTGTTGGAAACCTTTAGTGACTGGTGTACATGGCAACCACTGGTTTAGACTGTCTTGGGTTGGGGGCTGTGGCCACTGTGCTCTGACATCCACGCAAGAAGGAATAGACTCCCCCCCCTCAATTCTGGGGCCTCTCCTAGCCCACACATGACCCTCCCCATCACCCCACCTCTGCTGAGCAACAGTGGGCTTCAGCTCTGAGAGATACGGCAGTGAACTTGGGGTCAGGAGGTCTGAGTCTGCATTCTGGTCCTGCCTTTTACGGGCCACAGGACAGGGGTCAATCGCTGCCTGTGTCAGCTTCCTGGGCTGAGAATCTGCATGTCCTTCGTTTCTCGTTCATTTCTAGTCCCTGGAACAAAGCAGGCGGTCAGGGGACAGTTAAATCTGGGTCTTTGAGCTCTTGATGGGCTAGTCTAGTTCCATAAAGGCAGGGTTTGCCCAGCGCTGGGTGGGATGGGTGTGGAGGTAAGTTAGGCAGAAAGGAGAGGGGAAGTGAGCCTAGAACTGAGCTGGCAGAGAAAAGCTGGGATGCCAATGAGACCTTGAGGTCGAGCCTGCCCTGGGCTGAAACTGGAGAGCTGGCTGGTAGGGGTGGACCCAGGGCCATGGGTTCCACGAGACCCGTGCAGACAGCTGAGTTCCCTCTGAGACAACTGACTCGCAGTTAAAGTCTACTAGCATGAGACTCGTTTTCACCAGGTGGCAGCTCTATCGGCGTCTGTAGATGAGTCAGGAAGTGGCTGTCTTTTGGGGCTGGGGACTGAGGGTTTTGTTTTTTTTCTTCTCTTAAAAAATCCTGTCTTTGTTTAAAATACCATTCATGATGCCTTTCCTCCCAGAGAAGAGATGCTTACCAAGGAAGGTGAGGAAGCCCTGATGAGCAAGCCAAAGGGTTTGGATCAAGTCCTTTTCCCTGACATGGCCGACCGCCCATTCCCCCGAGCCCCACCTCCCTCTCCAGCTGAGGACCCCGAAGTCTCCTAGGCACGCAATACGTCAGTTGTTTTGAAATGGACTTGGACATAAAACCCAGAGGACGGTTTGGGGGAGGCCTTGGGTTGTCTTGGAAGGTCTCTGTTCTTTCTTTCCTGTTTTCTTCTCCTCACCCACTGCTGTCCTTTGTTATCCTCACAAATGCCATAGAGTCATCTTTGGTTCTTCAAGCCACGTCTCTGATATGTGTATATATTTATCTTTAATTTCAGTCATGCTGTTTGAATTTAAAAAAACAATTAAAAAAAGCAATCAGGCCTCAATGTTTGTTACTAAATCTGGATGATGACAAGCCCAGGCCTCTGAGACTTTCCAGATCCGAGCTCCAGAGAACCCTGAGGTGTTTGGATTTTCGAAACTCAGCCTGAGACATGGCAAGTTTATGGCCTGTGGCCTAAGGGAGCTGCATCGCATCTCCGGCGCTGGTGCGAGGCGGGTGGCATTTCACATGTATGGGCAATATTTTTAAAGTTTGCTCCTAGGAGATTTAAGTGAATTTCAAGCTCAGTAACAGAAGGATTGTACCTTGAATAGCAGCCGAGAGCAGGGACCTCACTGGGGAGAAGTATATTACTCAGACTCCAAACTCCAGGCTCCCACTGATCCCAAAGCACCAGGAAGGATCCCCACTGCGCTCTCAACAGCCTGAGAGCATCAAACGTGATCGCGTGGGAAACGTCCTTAGGTGCCATCTTTCGTATCATCCCCTTCTTCATAGAGTCTTGGTAGGTGTTCTCTCCCCACGCTGGCCCTTAACATGTGCTCCCGTCTCCCTCACCCCCACCCCCCCGACTGCCCGCATAGCCAGCGGCTGTGGTGTTGGTGTAGAAGTCAGGTTCCTCACCTGTGGTTGCTGCAGCAACGGGCGTCCGGGGCGTGGGGGGTGCACCATGGGCACCTGGCATTGCCCGCTGGGGTCCCACACAGGACGTCATCTCAGTCCCAGGAGGAAACAGACCTGCGCTGTCCAATAGCGTAGCCACTAGCCACATGTGGCCACTTAAATTTAAATTCATTAAAATTAAATAAAATAGAAAATTTACTTCCTCAGTCACACTAACCATATTTCAACAGCCCGGTAGTGACTCGAGGCTGGTGGCTACCACACTGGATGGTGCTGTCGGGCAGGTGTCTGGGCCGGAGGCCGAGGGGCCTGTCCACGGCCACAGTCAATGCAGCATCGGCACAAGGAGGGGGACGGGGAGAAGGGCGAACAGACGAACTCTTGGGGTGGGTTTGTTTCCCGTTGTTTCTGAGTCAGTTTCAGGGTGGTTTCTTTCTGCTCATTTGTTCAAAAAAAATATTCTTGAGGATGTCCTATGCCAGCTGGGCAGGGCCCCAGGGACACATCGTTGAACAGAGTGACCCAGGCCTGCACCCATGAGTTCACACTTCAGTGCGGAAAAGCGTATACAGTGTAAACAGTGGACTGTATCATGTCGGGGATGATGCGGGGAACCGTTCTAAAATAGGACGACAGGGTAAGGGAAATCGGAGGTGGCAGAGGAGGCAGCAGTCGCGAGCTTAGATAGGGTGGTCTGGGGAGGGCACCCTAGGAGGGTGACGTCTGAGTAAGGACTTGGGGACAGTGATGGAGTTTGGTGCATGGGCATCAGGGCCAGCGGGAAGGGCCAGCGCATAGCCCTGAGGACCCAAGTGTGCCTGGTTGTTCAAAGGACAGTAGGTGGCTAGGGCTTGGCTGGAGTGGAAGGAATCGGGGGACATTAGAAGATGCAGTCACAGTGCGGGGTGGTGGGTGGGGGGCTTGGCAAGGACTCTGCTTGTGACTTTGTGTGAAATGGGAAGTCGTTGGGGGGTGGGTGTGTTCAGGAAAGGAGAGGCACGGTCTGGCTTGCGTTTCAGTGGCCTCACTGGCCGCTGAGTGGAGCTTGGGTCGCATGGGGAGGGAGCACACACTTCAGAGTAATCCAGGAAAAAGGCCACGGGGACTTGGACGGGAGCAGCTGTGTGTGTGTGTGTGTGTGTGTGTGTGTGTGTCGGGGGTGAGTGTGGGGGAAGCCAGGGAACCCCAGAGAGGAAAAAGGAGCATAAATTCTAGAGCGTTCTTGACAAGCCTTTGGATCCCAGATAGTTTGGGGCATGAGAAAGCAGAAGCAACATCTGCTTGTTCTGAGTAAAGCATGTGTTGGTGGCAAAGTTCCAGAGAAGTGACTCTTCACCAGCAGGAAAACAGGGGAACCTGAGCTGTATCTGGGGGAAAGGGCCCGAGCACCCTGAGTGTCTGACGACACAGGAGAGCTCTGACACGTGCCGGTATCCCCGGTGGGACACAGGACGGGCTAGAGAAACACAGTGAGCCGATGGGCTGGAGGCCAGAGCTGGAACTGGGTATGGACACACGGTGTCAGCAGCCAACCCGGATCTGTGCTGGTGACTAAGACCAGGTGTGATGAGTAATAACTCTGCCTGGAGCCTCCCCTCCTGCTGGGTGCCCCCTCCCTCACTTATCTCAACCACAAGGGCCTTCCTGAAGAGAATGGCGAAGAGGAAACCCCTGACTTGACTGAAAAAGCTAGTGGAACAGAGTCCAAGCGGAACTGCCAAGAGAAGGTGTTCTGCCCATTAAGTTCAGTTATTAAAAAACAACGCTGTACGGTTTGCTTACCTGACGTGGTGGTTTATGAAACTCATGCCAGCAAATAAGAACCAAAGTGGAGTTAGGGTGAAGAGAGGGTGAGCTGAGGAAAGATGAAAAGTTGATTCTGGAAGGACCAAGAGGGCCAGGAGATGGGGCTGGGAAGGTGTACGTTCCAGTGTTTGCCAGGTGTCATCCTGGGTGACACCTCTGTTACATATACACACACACACACACACACACACACACACACCTTGAGCATCCTGCCATCCCAGCTGCCAACCCAAAGGAATTCTCTGATGGTTGGAATCTGTATACTCGTCTCTTATGCAAAATATCCCACAATATCCGAGGAGGATGGCATGTACGAACGTTTTATTGCACGGGCAAAGGGTATGTCATGCCCGCCTGCTCTCTACCTGAAGCATGAGAAGCAGCTAGAGTCAGTGCATCTTACACCAGTTCAGTGCTGGCCACAGAGCTTCCTGCCCCCCCCTCCCCCCCGCCGCCAAGGGCTGCTCTCATGGTGGCCTGTGTTAACCACACTGCAGGCGAGTGCAGGGGTGGCCCCGGAGTCCACCTGGATTCCAGCCCGTTTCCCCCAAACTCTTCTCCAAACACCCTCGTTAGCCAGGGGAGGCCACTTATAAAAAGCCTTGTGGTTTTCATGAAGAAACGACTGCATGTGACAGCTTTTGCCCCAAATCACCAGGGAACTCCAACGATTTTGGCTAAATGCCCCTTTAAGAGCTGACAAAAGACAAGCATATCTGCTAGTATCTATTAGGAAACTAAGTGCAGCAGGGGGCGCGTTCTCCTGGATTCGCGAAAGCGCGGGACAATTTTGGCTAAACGCCCCTTTAAGAGCTGACAAAAGACAAGCATATCTACTAGTATCTATTAGGAAACTAAGTGCCCGGACGGCAAGGGGGCGCGTTCTCCTGGATTCGCGAAAGCGCGGGACGCAGAGGACAACTGCTGGGCTTTGGCTGGCCAGCCCCTGGGGACCCCCAGACGCCCTCTCCCGCTGCCCTTCCTGACCCAGCGTGCCTGCCTCTCACACCTCGGAGAGCCTGACGTCGTAGGTGACCATGTTGAAGTTGTCCCAGGCGAAGAGCTTCTTCCCCAGGGGGTTGTAGTCGATCATGCTGCTGTACTTGTAGCGGTTCTTGAACGGGATGGCCAGGGCCTTGCTGCTCCCCGTGCCCGTGTCATACGCGAAGTTGACAGTGGCATCGGGCGACGAGTAGCTGCTGACGGTGTACAAGGTGCCGCAGATGACAAAGGCGTTGGCCACGGACTGCTTCCGGATGTTCGTCTCCCAGGTCTGCTCACGCTCCAGACTCTCGGGGTTCAGCCTGGACAGGACGATGGCGCCTTTGGCCTCCTCGGTGCTGTAGATGACCCACAGGCCCGACTCGTCCACGGCCAGGTCCATGTCCGTGTAGCCGCCCCAGGAATACGGGAACTGGCCGTGGTAGCCGGCTCCCGGGATGTCCTTCTCGGCCTTCACAGTCTCGGTGTTCAGCTCGTACCTGACCACCGTCCTGGACTCGGCCCCCTGGAAGTAGAGGCTCCCCCCGTAGACCACGGCGCCCGTGCTCTCCAGCGGCCGGGGCAGCACGTGCACCTTGGAGGGGTAGCCCTCCAAGAACTGGCTGAGGCGGCTGTACTCAAACACCTGGCGGATGCCGGTGCCCACCGTGTCGATCCTCCACGTGGTCTCCTGCGTGTAGGGGTAGACGGGCTTGGGGTCTCTCATCCACACCCCGTACTTGCCCGTGATGGTCTCAGCTGTTCGCAGAGTCACGGGCTCTCCCACCCAAACCAGCTCTCCGCATCCTGCTGAATTAAAAACAAACAACACACAAAACACATGGACTCACCGTCGTCTCTCCACCTTGTGGAGCCGGCACAAGCCAGGAAGGAGCCCAGAGATGACCGCCCGGGTTTAAATCCTGGCTCCGCCACCTGCGGGCTGTGTGACTTCCAGTCGGTTACTTTGCCAACTCGGCCTCTGTTCTCTCATTGGTCAAGGGGATAATGATAGTGCTTTGGGTAGAGGGCAGCGGTTCTCAACCTGTGGGTCGAGACCCCTTTGGCGGTCGAACGGCCCTTTCCCAGGGGTCGCCTGAGACCATCCTGCATATCAGATATTGACATGACGATTCATCACAGTAGCAACATGACAGTTATGAAGTAGCAACGAAAATAATTTTATGGTTGGGTCACCACATGAGGAATGGTATTTAAAGGGCCAGAAGGTTGAGAACCACTGGTAGCGGGGCTGTTGTAAGTCTCCAGTGTCATTAGACATGGTCAGCGTTGGTTAGAGGAAACGGCCAGTACAGGCTGTGATTGTACGTGGTCAGAACTGAACCTTGACAGAGGCTGCCCCGGAGCGGGGCTCCGGGCTGTATTTGTCATATTCGACTCGCCCTGGCCAGGGTCGCATGTGTGTGCACTGTATTATTCTTTATGACTCTCATGTCTGATTCATCTCGTTATTTAAAAAAATAAAAGACAAAACTCAGGTCATTAGAACAACCGTTAGAGTTTTACAAGCCCTGACTGATGGACCCTATATTTCAGGCATCATTTTAATACAATAAAATCTGAATATAATTTTAAACACGCAATGAAGAGCTGGTTAGAAACTTAGATTTAGCAGAATCCTAAGTTTCTGTACTTGACGAGGAGCCTTCAGTTTCCTTAGAGAAGGTGCTCGTATCTCAGGGAATCGTATTTTGAATATTTCCAAGTGCCCCATCCCCAGGCATGACCTGCAGTGCTAGCAATTATTGTCAAGAACACGGAGAGTCACCGTTTCTGAAAACCGCAGTCTTTGTCTTAACGTCAGGCTCTCGGGACACCTTCAAGTGGGGTCACTGTACGCTTCCTAAGGACCCCAAGTTCAGTGACAGCCTGTGTGCTCAAAGGGTGCATGGTGTCTGTCTGGCCCTGAGATACAGATATGAAAAATCCACTGAAAAACTTCATTGTCCATGAGTAATCAAGTCAAGGTGACAATCGCGTGGGTGAAACAGACACATCTCCCATCTTCCCAGGCCCAGCCCGGCCCGGCCCACGATCCCCAGTGTGGGTGACAGGACACAGGCCTTGGGGGGGGAAGTCGGATTTGCCCTGGAGAGGGAGCACACGGGACTGGACGCAGACGAAGACCACGTGGGGATGGAAGAGAACACACGTAACTGCATACCAGTGTCCCCGCCGGCACTCCCGGGGTGGCCAGGTGGACTCTCCTTCAAGATGCGGGAAGCAGGAACCGCGGTTAACTCTGACTTCAGTTCCTGGAAGTCCACGTTCTCCGGATTCCACCTAGAAACTATATTCAAAGAAAGAGACAATATCCACCTGAGGAAGAGTGGCCCGATGACTGGGCGGAGGATGGCATTTCAATAGGCTTCCAACGATGCATTTGAAGATAGTAAAGGGGGGGGGGGGTAGGATTGGACTTTGCTGACAACTGTTGGAGCTGGGAGCTGGGGTTCCTATCGTTTCTCCACTTTGGAGAATGTTGGGGAAATTCCGTAATAAAAGGCTCACAAATAGTAAACTGCACAGCAATGTGCCGAGCAAGGAGTAGGATATTTAAAATAAACTAAAGGCAGCTTGTGCTCCGTTAAGATAACTCCCACTCGAAGGCCTGATGTCTGAATAGGAACAGGGTGTGGATTCAGGGGTGTTGGGAAGGCCCTCGGCTTCTCCTGGGGTGCCCGCGATTCGACAATGAACAGTCCCTGGCATGATTTGGGTGTTTTCCCCCCCCTTTCCATAGATAGGCAAACGTTCCTGTAAGAAGCAGCGTTTCTCCTTGGAAGTGTTAAGCTTTCTCAGTAGAGGGCGCTGGAGGGGCATGGTGGGAGCAGATCTTCAGTCCTCAGGGGAGGCTGGTTGGTAGCCTGAGTGTGAACACGTCGGGTGGGGGCCCCGGAAGCCTTGGCCTGGCCATGACCTTTCCACAGCCCTCTCATCACGGAGCCCGGAGTCCCTGCACGGACGCCCCCGGGCTCCTGCAGCCTGTGCCTGACCCCCTGGGCCCGCAGCCATAGGTTGCTGGCCGCTCCACCTGCATGCGGGAGGTGGCCTTTGCAGCTCTGGACCAGCTCCGGCCACCTTCCCCACCATCTGATGGGCTGAACCCCACCTTCCAACTGAGGCCCGAACTCCTTTAAGTGTGTCCTTCCTCAAGCCCGAGGGTGCCATGGAGTGTGTACTTACAGCTCATGGTTACTCCTTTATCGTTGTTAGTCATTCTTTATAGAGCTCACCCTCCTGGGAGCAAGCCCACACCTTTCCTACCCCTTCTTCTCCCCCCACAGGGGTGCATCTCCTAAACCCTAATGGTCCCCACCAGATTTGCAACCAGGGGAGCAATGGGCAGCAGCAACTCGTCTGGGTACCCCTGACCCTGTCCCCAAGGCCCCCTTTTCTCTGACTTCCCAGTGAGCAAAAGCAGCCGGCCTTGGTCAATGTCTCTCCTGTAACCTCTCTAGAGAGCAAAGCCGCCCGGCCAGGCTCTCCTGCGGCTTCTTCTATCCGCCGCCCTTCCCGGTTCCAGTCCCAGCCTTAACAAATGTCATCTAAGAAAACAACCGACTCTTTATATTAAATGTCCCCGCCTTAACCAGCTTGTTACCAGAGGGTTTACAAAAGCCTCAGAGACGTTTCCCTGTCTCCCTTTCTCCCTCCGCTCCCTCCCCTTTTCCGCCACACTCTGCGGGAACCACACCTCAAGTGCTTTTGAAGTAAACAAGAATCACCATAAAACATAATGTCAGGGCATGGCTTCCAGGGTGACTGCGAGGCCAGTTCTCAGTTGGCAGGTGGGCTGGCTGGATTAGAAGCCCGCTGGCTGGCTTCTTCTTGGTTGTGTCAGCCAGAGCATCTGGCAACAGGCAGACTCCCAGACCAGAGCTGTCTGGCGTGAGGACCAAAGCCTGTGGGAGAGGATGCAAGGCTCCAGGCCCAAAGTCCTAAAGGCAGGGAAGCAGTTGTGTGAAGGGGCCTGGACTGGGCTTGGAAGTCCTAGCTTCCTGGCTCAGTATTGCCAGGTGCCTGCTGTGTGACTTTGGGCAAGTTACTCAACCTCTCTGAGCCTCAGTATTCTTAGCTCAAAGTATAAATAACATGGTCTTCCCTAAGGATGTGTCAAAACAAAAATTTTTCAGGAATGTTTCAAAATCATATCTCATTCTGAACATGGGGAAAAACAAAAAGAGGTTATGAAAATATTAAGGACTTTATTATATCAGACACCTCAACATTGTTAGGGCTTGGTTTCTATTAAAATTTAGTCCTTCTAGGGCACAATGTTCATGTCGATTACACAACTCTGAAAATCTGCATATTCTTCTCTATCTACCTTATCTCTGCTTTATAGACACGTAGAGAGATTAACCCAGAAACAGAATTTATTAATTTGCATGAGTATAGTATATATAGGCAAGTGACATTATAATGATTTTTACAGTTATTTTCTGTCCTTGCCTGAAAAGTTAGGTCAGTGTTGCATAAATGGAGAGGATGGAGAAAAATTGGGGTGCCACATAATTGCAGGTCATCACGGGTACTTGAGGAAAGGGAAGACTAGCTGGGTGCTGGGTGCTGGGTGCTGGGTGCTGGGTGGCCCCCCAACACACCTGTTCTCTGGAATCAGCGTGTGTTATAGAACCATTATGCGCATGTTGACATTTTGATCATTAAATGACCTTCTAAGACATTAGTGGAGCTCGGGCAAAAGAGGCCCTTTGTAGCGACAGTCCATTTCCTGGGGGGCTGCTCCATGCTGGAGACCCACCCCCGCGATTTCTAATCTGCGTAATCATTCCACGAGGGGGTGTTCGCTCCAGCCTGTAGGCGAGGGGGCGAAACCTCAGCGCCCGTGGAGGACCTGGTGTCCCCGCGGCGAATCCTGCCCACCTTTCCCAGCCGTTGCTGTGGCAACCTGCCTGGTGCAGGTGTCTGCTGCTGTCCTGGCCTCCGCTGCCCTGCTGAGTCACCGGTGGTTACTGTTTTGCCGAATCCCTTGAAAGTACATTGCAGACCTCCTGACCCCTCCTGACCATGATACCATATCTCACCCAAGAAACCTAACACAAATCTGGGAACAACCCACTCAGCCGCAGTCCACCTGCGCGTTTCCTCACTAATCCCCCCCCTGCCCCCCCCCCGGCCCCGGGCAGCTCTTCTTCCCTGGATGCAGGGGCCAATCCAGGGTCAAACCTGCCTTTGGTGACCGTGTCTCTCCCGTCCCCTCCAAACTTGACAGTAACATCTCTGAAGAGTCCAGACTGACCAACTGGCCCATACCTGGGTGGGCTTGCTTGTTTCCTCCTGATGGGACGATGTACTCAACAGTGAATATCTGGGGGCACAATTTCACAAAAAGTGCCGCCAATACTGTCCCCCCCACTGCCGGGGAGAGCGTGCCTTCCCCCTCGCCCTCCCGGTGCACACGCGGACTCGCCACCCGCAGGGCCGCGAGGGACACAGAGCATCTCTTAGCAGAAGCCTCCTCAAGGTGTGGCCTGGTGCTCTGATGCGGAGGGTCTCAGATGGGGCCAAGTGGAGGACAACTTCCCAAACAGCACCCCGGGGACTGACAAAGGGTTCCTGCTGCGTCTACGCTGCCAAGGAAGGGCAGGGATCACCTGTTAGCATTTCAGAAATCTCTTGCCATTTCATCAATGGAGGCCATGTTAACCCCAGGAGGTAGGAATTGGCTGCTCTAAACGAAGATTCACAGCAGGAGCGTTTTCTGAAAAGGATCACCCCCCCCGCCCCCCGGGTGCCTCTCACCGGGTCCTTTCCGCTCTCCCTTTGCTGTGGGCCGTGAGGACTTTGTCATGGGCAGGCACAATCGGGCACCACTAACCTAGATGGAGCCATCGGGAGTTAAACCGCTAGGAACAGGTGAAAGCGATAGCTGTGCCCTCCTTCATCCGTCTGCCTCGAGCTGATGTGCGGCTTCTGGGAGGAAGGGGAGGGCAGGAGGGCAAACCTGGGCCACCTGTGACGGGTCACCCTGGACGCTGCCACCTTCTTACCTTCCCTGGAGCCTGGGGGCACATCCGGAGAGGCGCTGCGGGCTTGGGGACACTGGCCCCTCAGGAGCCTTTCTATCTCCTGGCTGCTGCTCTCCAGCCTTCTGGCCAGATCCTCGTTCTCTGCCCCCAGCCGCCTCTTCTCCTCCTCCAGCACCTCCTTGTCCCGGAGAAGGTTGCCGTAGGCCGTTTCCAGCTCCCGGGCTTGGCTTTCCAGCTGTTCTCGCTCCCTCATCAGGGCGTCCAGCTCCCTCGGCGGCCCCTCCGAGGGCCCAGCCGCCGGGGCCCCGGTCAGCTGGCGGAGGAGGCCCTCCAGGGAGCTGAGCCGGGCCTTGGTGCTCTCCAGGTCGGCGCGCTGGCTGCTGCTGTCTCTCTGCAGGTCCTGGATGGCTGACATGGCCTGGCCCTGCTCGGGGCAGCTGGACTCAGCGGGGCTGGCCACGCTGAAGGTGTACTGGCATCGGCCACTCCGGTCGTTGGCCTTGCGGAGCTGGGCTGACCTGGCCCCCACACCCCACAGCAGACAGGCCAGAAGCAGCAGCCGGACAGCTGGCATCTTGGGCCCGTGGCTGCAGTGCTGTGCACGGGGTCCCCGGGGCAGAGGCTGGGCGAGGCTCCCTCTGGAAGGCTCCCCTGCAGGAGGTGCCCGGCTGGGTGGCCCTGCCGGGTCCTATATACGGGGAACCAGCCCTGCGGGGGGCAGAGAGGTGGCCACGTGGCCCCGGGTGGGGCCACACACAAGAGGGTTGTTTTCACGCTGCCGGCAAGACTCTTAGAAAATGACTTTCCAGAAGTCTGTTTTGAATTTCTTTTTAAAAAAAAGTCCCACTTCACGCATCGCACGTCCCCATAATATCCCTCTACCCCTCCCCGCCCCCAATTTTGCACACACACCCTCCCACGTGCCCACTGCATCCAGCGTGACTACTGTGGGCGGATTTCAACAAGGTTTATTTCCAGCTCCTATTTCCATCTATGCTGCAGACTTTGTCGAGAACTTGCTCTGTGTCAGGCACTGTGCTAGGAGCCCGGGATTCAGACCTGCCTGAAGCACAGTCCCTCTTCCAGTGGCAGGGGCAGAGCCCACGGCCAGCCATGGCAGAGGGCCACCAGGCTTCAGGGACAGCGGGGCAGAATTCTTCCCTGGTCCCTGGCTGTACAAGTGTGGGGGTGTCTCTGGGAGAACGGTTTTTCTTTTTACATTTTTAATTGATTCTAGAGATAGAGGGGGAAGGTGGAGAGAGAGAGAGAGAGAGAGAGAAAGAAAGAGAGATAGAGAGATATCTGTTTGTTGTCCCACTTACTTAGCGTTCATAGGTTGATTCTTGTATGTGCCCTGACTGGGGATCTCACCCACAACCTTGGTGTATTGGGACAACACTCTATCGGCCAGAGCTTTGGAAGAACTTTCTTCTTTCTTCTTTCTTCTTCTACTTTCCTATGCCAGTCTTGCATCACAGGGACCAATGTCAATATTAGTCTCCACTGTGTGTGTGTGTGTTCTTTATGGTTCCTGGCAAAAGCCACTATACATGGTTAGGAGAAGAACATGTGGCCGTTGGCTTCATTGAGCTTTCCTCCATCATGGTGGTTCGCCATCCTTTCTTCCCCTGGGGCTCAACGTGATAAGAATTGCTCAAGGCCCCCATCCGCCTTCCTGTGCTGGCCCCCCATCACCACCCCCTCTGCTGGCCCCCCATCACCACCCCCCAAAGCCTGCATGGAATGCCAGAGCCACAGGGGCCCTTTCCAATGAGAAAACAGAGGCCCAGAGAAGGAGAGGGACTTGCCCAGGGTCACACAGCCCACGCGTGGCAGAACCAGGGGAAAACGGACATCTCCTGATTCTGAGGTTTTCCACCTTCTCACATAAGCCAGGTCCACCCAATGCCCAGGGGTTGCCCAGAACAGACGAGGGATTCCAGTCGCTTTCCCCCAGGAACCCATGCTCGAGAAAATCAGCTAGCTGCCTCTCTTCCCTTAAGCAGAGGCCTTCACTGGAGGAACACGTGTGCGCGCCCCGGCGTTTGACAGTGATTTTGTGAAACTGCAGCCCTTCATGAGAGAGAATGACATATTCTCCCCAAAGCAGAGAAAAGGGCTCGCTGCAAGACACAGGAAACTCACAGCTCCCTGAGCCGCAATGAACATCTGGTGGTTCAGCCTGCCCTCTTCACCTTCCTGCCTCCCCCGCCCCCTGGGGCCAGGCCCGCACTCCCCCACTGCCCCACCCATCTCCTGCAGTTCTCCTGGACATGGAGCCCGCTTTCCCGCCGAGGAAACACTGTCCCCTCCGGTGTGTGACCGCATTCCATCTCCATTTGTTGTTTGACCGCGTTCCATCTCCACGTCCTTTCTGGCGCCTGGAGCCAGGGCGTCTCCCAGCAGCCAGGAAGATGGGTTAGGCTTGTTGTTGGAGCAGCAGCGGGAGGCGCTGCCGTGCAGGATGGAGGCGGCAGGGGGCGCTAGGGGGCAGCAGCCCCAAGGCCCATTGCACTGCAGGCTGCGCTTGTTTCCGTTGGGTTTAGGCTGGTTGGCTGCTGTTTTCTCCCGCAATGAGTTCTTCCGTGAGAAACTGTCACCCCACGAAGGCAGGGCTGTGCCTGCTTTGCTCACCGTTTTGCCCCCCGTGTCTGGCAGATGTAAATGCTCATTGCGTTTTCAGGGGATGCATGGACGCACACATCGTTCAGCAGAAAGAGAACATAAAGGTCCCCAAGGAACCGGAACGCAGCCTCCCGGGCACCGTGGAGACTCGAGGCTGCGCAGGACTTTTCTGGATGAGCTGGGCTTCCCTTGTCACCCACGCAGTGACCATAGAGCAACAGCACAGGCGAAATGGGCGTTTTTGGGTTTTTCTGGAACTCTATTTATTTACAGTTTCCTATGGGAAAATTTTTCTCATGGCTTTTATTAAAGAAGAAAAACATACTTCTTTTATTTTTTTTATTAAGAAGACTGTGACAATAGGAGAAATAAAGATGGGCATTTGGGTAGGAATCTGATTGGCAGGAATCAGCCTGGAGCCTTGGTTGTCCAGGAGTCCGTGTGTCCCTGTGGGTTTTCTCAGTCGATACCTATGACCAGCTCAACAGCTATTCCCAGGGGGGTCTGTGAAGTGTTGGGATGTTTACAAGAGCTTCTCACACACTAAAAGTTTACAAATTACGGATGGGGCACAATCCACTTGGGATCTTTGATGTGGAGTCAAGGCTATTCTTGACTTATTGCTAATTAAGTAAATGCTTAGAAGGGCGGTAAGAGTCTCTGAGAGCCTCACGCCACAGGAGCAACACATCGGAAAATACGCCGAAACCACAGCAAAAGTGTCGATTGAGCTTGGCCTGCAAAAACACACACCAAAACTTTTGGCTTTTGAGAAAGTTCACAAGTAGATAAAATGTTGCTTTCTCTCTTTAATAGTCCCTTGTACCTAAACATTTTTTTTTTTTACATTTACCAGCTCATTTTCTTTTTTTTAAAAAAAATATTTTATTGATTTTCTAGAGAGGAAGAGAGAGGGATAGAGTTAGAAACATTGATCAGCTGCCTCCTGCACACCCCCTATTGGGGATGTGTCCGCAACCAAGGTACATGCCCTTGACCGGAATCGAACCTGAGACCCTTCAGTCCGCAGGCCGACGCTCTATCCACTGAGCCAAACCGGTTAGGGCCCAGCTCATTTTCATTTTGAATCTTATGACCACCTGAGAGATAAGTACAACTCACCCCATTTTACACAAGAAGAAACTGGAAATTAAGTGACTTGCCAATCCATGAATGGGTGGTTAAAAGAGAGTCTAGCGCCTCCTGGTGGCATCTCCCACACCTTCCCATGCCACGGCCCCTCCCTGTGCCATTCACCAAAATGATGCAAGAATTTAAAAATTTTTTTAAAAATATATTTTATTGAATTTTTACAGAGAAGAAGGGAGAGGGATAGAGAGTCAGAAACATCGATGAGAGAGATGGATCAGCTGCCTCCTGCACAGCCCCCAGTAGGGATGTGCCCGCAACCCAGGTACATGCCCTTGACCGGAATCGAACCTGGGACCCTTGAGTCCGCAGGCCGACGCTCTATCCACTGAGCCAAACTGGTTCAGCAAGAATTTAAAAATTTAAGCTCTGATCTATATTGGGTTCATCACAATTTTTCTTGGCATGTAATTAGCATAAACTTTACTTTCCAAATGACAACCACAAAGAATTCACAGAAAGGCAGACTATTTTCCATAGAAAGTGATAAAAGATCATTAAAATATTCTCATCTTATTGCTTATTCCTTATATTGCTGTTCTCGTAGGAGTCAGGATATTATAGCAGAAAGTTGCTGGGATCTAGATCTCTCCACATGGTCTACTCACTCCTGTGTCACTGGGGGTTACTCGTCAACTGGCCATGCTTCCTTTCTCCAGATTTTAAACGCCTCAAATGTTCTTGTGACGATCAGATGACAAAATGAAAACCCTTAGGGTATCTTGAATGCTCATTGCTACTCATCCTACCTCTAGTGGAGCAATGGGAGTCCATGAGGATGACGGTTCCTCCTGAATTTATTTTACAAGATGTTGCTAGATGATACAAGGGCTACGAATCATTTCCTTGTAAAATATCCGTCACTTATTGTGCCCCGATCGTACAGTAGGAGTTTTACACATGGAACCTATCAGAGTCTATCATCCTTCCAACCAGCCTACTAGACGGTTAATAATCTCCCCACATCACTAGTTTCTGAGTCTTGAGGAGAGACACATGGGTAATTATGGGAGCTGAGGTGTGAACCCAGCTTCTTTCCTCCCCTGGCCTTGGGCTCCCTAGGTGATAGGTTAGTTCTTCCTTATTTGACTGGGGTTAAGTAAACTTACCAGTAGATAATACCTCAGCATGATAGGTATTATTAAGAGAGGGAATTCATCACTACGACATTTTCATCTATTCATTTCCTTTCTGAATTCTTTTATTCCACAGAGAACAGAAAATGTCTTCCTTGCTGATCAGTTAAATCCAAGCAACAGATTTCAGTACGCACGACTCAAAGGGCTTTAAGTGAACACAGCATTACAGTATATTTTATTTTTGAAGATAGAACTGTGATCTCCCACCTGCAAAATTAAGTCGTGACAGAATGCCAAGAAGGTAGGCACGCACATTGGCAATTTGGCTTTAAGTGAGAACAGTTTGTTCTTTAAAAACCCAGTTATGGTAGGTTACATCCAGTGCTCGAGGTTGGGGAATTTCAAAAGAAAGAGCTATTTTCTTTGCCCCATTGTAAAAGTAGGAAAACATCGGATGTGGAAACTCAGGAGATGACCTTATGTCAACGACCCCGAGCATCTGATGGGAATGACACGCATTGCAGATGATCTGTGGTTGTATTTTAGGTCCAGCAAGTTTCCTAACAAGCTCCGAGTATCCCAGGCTACTTTCCCACAAAATCTAGCCGGCCTGTGGTCAGGGAAGTCCGAATGATTTTACTGTTAGCACCGGCAAGACTGAATCAAAAAGATAAATCTGCTAAAAACAAAAACAGACCAATAAAATCCAAGAACATTGTGCAGCTCACGTGAAATATAACTGAAATTTTTTCACAGTAACATCCTTTTCTATCATTGCAGCATTTTAAATAGATTCTGCGATCTTGCTTCACTCGAATGGTAGCA